AAAAAAAAAAAAAAAAAAAGACAAAAAAAAAATGCAAAGAAACACTAAATAGTTTACAGCAAAGTTCTAGCAGGTCATATTTGTTCGGTCAAGTGCTGAGCATTCTTAGAGTAGGGAGCTGGTCGTACACCGAGGTTCCACTGTACAGCTTTGTGATGTATTACAAAAGCCTAAGTGGGAGCCCTCTGCCTTGTTTTCTCATCAATCCACACATTTAGTAACTTTTGTCACATTTATTATATTGACTTTTTTATCATTCTTTTCAGCACATCACTATCTGCTCACGTCATCGTACATGTTTTTATTTTCATCTCATTCCACAATATAACTTTTAGAGGCGAGTGTGTGAGAGCCAATCACATGGCCCCAAGAAATTTCCTTCCAAAGCATGCAGAAATTATTTACAAGAAAGGTTACAATGCTGATCAAGTGCTGTTTGCTGACAAGACAAAGTGGTGGCTTCAAGGCAGTGCAGGATCACTCCAGTTTGCTTTTCTGTTTATGCATCAGCATAAGAAGAGCAAGCTGATGCACAAGCAGAAAATTATAATATATACTGTGTAGTATATACTGTGATAACCCCATTTTATAGGCAAGCTCCCTGGCCAAGCCATAGGACCCCTGTTCATAGGCCATGCCTGAGAGGTGTCTCACTCACTCTCCTAGACCTAGGGAATAAGCAGACAGGTCAGGCTTCACCACGAATACTCGTCAGGAAATTTCAAATGCAAGTTTATGGTAACTCTCATCACACTCATCACTCATACCTCACACTCACAACAATCTCACTACACACACTCTCAACTCACAACTCACACTCATCACACTCCACCTCACACTCTCACACTCACACTCTCACACTCACACATCTCACACTCACACTCACTCAACACTCTCACACTCTCACACTCTCACACTCCCCCTCACACTCTCCATCAAATCTCACACTCACTCACACTCCTCACACCACTCATCCACTCAACTCCTCATCACTCTCCACTCACACTCTCACACTCTCACACTCTCACACTCACACTCTCACTCACACTCTCCACTCACACCTCCTCACTCACACCACTACTCATCACTCACACTCTCACACTCACACTCTCTCACACTCACACTCTTCACCTCACACATCTCTCACTCACACTCTCTCACTCACACTCTCTACACTCACACTCTCTCACTCACACTCTCACACTCACACTCTCACTCACTCTCACCTCAACACTCTCTCACTCACACCTCTCACTCACACTCTCCTCCACTCTCACTCACACTCTCACTCACACTCTCATCACCTCCACTCACACTCCATCACACTCTCACTCACACTCTCACTCCACTCTCACTCAACTCTCACTCACACTCTCCTCACACTCTCACTCACACTCCTCACTCACACTACTCTCATCACCTCTCATCACACTCTCACTCACACTCTCTCCATCCACTACTCACACTCTCACTCACATCTCACTCACATCCACTCCACTCTCACTCACACTCTCACTCACACTCTCACTCACACTCACTCAACTTCACTCACACTCTCATCACACTCTCACTCACACTCTCACTCACACTCTCACTCACACTCTCACTCACACTCTCACTCACACTCTCACTCACACTCTCACTCACACTCTCACTCACACTCTCACTCACACTCTCACTCACACTCTCACTCACACTCTCACTCACACTCTCACTCACACTCTCACTCACACTCTCACTCACACTCACTCCACTTCACTCACACTCTCACTCACACTCTCACTCACACTCTCACTCACACTCTCACTCACACTACTCTCACTCACACTCTCACTCACACTCTCACTCACACTCTCACTCACACTCTCACTCACACTCTCACTCACACTCTCACTGAAATAAGACAAAACCATTTACTTCTTAATTTGAGGTCTAAAAAACAGCATGGATGAATAAGGCTGTTTGTTAGGTCCAGCATAATTTTATCCCTGTATGAAGATGTACCTGGCAAAAAGGAATCTTATAGTCAAGGTTCTCCCAACTTGATAATTTACATAGCCATCCCATAATCTTAGTCTCTGGACCCAAATATGCAAGTTCATTTTTTTATCATTCCAAACAATATTATTGATAACCACTGGATTTTGTTATTCGAGTCTCACTACACATGCAACAATGGATGAGAACTCAAACAGGTGTGCCAGAATTCTGGCATATGAACACCTTACAGTCACTGGGTGAAGTGCCCTAATTAACACTAAGTGCAAGCTGGGAAAGATCATGGCCTGGTTGGGTATACAAGCTCAGGGTTTTCCCCTCACTAGAATCAGGTTCAGTAAACAGACTGGCCAGATTGGGAGGTGAAGGTTTTACAAATGGTTATGCAAGAAGATCAACATAAATGAACTGTTGGAAGCTAAACAACCAACTGCAGAAGAACTGCTGGAAAATCTTGATATCCAAGCAAAACAGAGAATGATGAAGAACCTGTATAGAAGCAATCAACGCAGGCATTACGCAAGTAAATCCATGCTGACTTTCACTGAAAACGACTGACACATCTAGAAGCCTCACTTAAAAGAGGATTTCAGAGCAAGCTATGAAAAGTTAAAAGCAGCAAATACACATACAGCGGGCATGTGTGAGTGTTTAATACGAGTGAGTGGAGACAAATGGTTTTTGGGATTTGACAAGTTGTTTGAGTGTGAGCAGGATAATATTTTGTGAAGGGATTAAGAGAAACTGGTTAGTCAGACTTGAGTCCTGGAGGTGGGAAGTACAATGCCTGCACTCTAAAGGGTGGGTTTGGGATACTTGCTATTTAGAGGAACACCTAAACTGTCGTATCTGCACTGGCAAAACAGTGATAGTGTGAATGATGGTGAAAGTTTTTTTTTTTGGGGGGGGTCACTGCCTTGGTGGGAGATGACCATTTAAAAAAATTAACACGTCAGCTGTTTCCCACTGAGGCAGGGTGACCCAAGAAAGAACCACCACTTTCATCACTCACTCCATCACTGTCTTGCCAAAGGCATGCCAATACTACAGTTCAAAAACTGCAACACATCTCCACCCCCTCCTTCAGAGTGCAGGCACTGTACGTACTTCCCACCTCCAGGACTCAAGTCTGGCTAACCAGCTTCTCTGAATCCTTCGTAAATGTTACCATCCTCACACTCCAACAGCAAGTCACGTCATAAAAATTGCTTGCCTCTATTCATTCACGCTTGCTGGATGTTTAGGTCCCTCACACAGAAAATCCTTTACCCCTCCCTCCAACCTTTCCTAGGGCAACCCCTACCCTGCCTTCCCTCCACTACAGATTTATACACTCCCCCAGTCATCCTATTTTGTTTCATCCTCTAACAACGAGGCCCTCTTCAACCCTCTGGATAATACTTTTAGTAATCCTCCACCTCCTAATCTCCAAGCTACAAATTCTACATGTTCTCTGCATAATATTTACACCCCACATTGCCCTCAGACATGACATCTCCACTGCCTCCAGCCGCCTCCTTGTTGCAACATTCGCAACCCATGCTCCACGCTGTACTCTCATACATTTTTTTTTTTTTTTTTTTTGCTTCCATGGATAATATACTTTGTCTCCACAGTTTCTCAATGCACCATTCACATTTTTTCCTTCATCAATTCTATGACTCGCTTCATCTTTCACAGGCCCACCTGCTGATAAGTCCACTCCCAAATATCTGAACACGTTCACTTTCTCCATACTCCCTCCCTCCAATCTGATGTTCAATCTTTCATTACCTAAATTTTCTGTTACCCACATCACCTTGCTCTTTCCAATGTTCACTTAATTTCCTTCTTTTACATACCCTCCCAAATTTGCCCACCAACCTTCACAACTTTTCAGAATCTCCCAAAAGCAGTGTCATCATCAAAAAGCAACTGACAACTCAATGTTTTAGATTCTTCATCTTGCAATCCCACACCTTTCCCCCAATGCCCCTGCAATCACTCTTTACAACCCCACCTATAAATATATTAAAAATGGCAACATCACATCCATCTAAGGCCTACTTTTACTGAAAAATACTTTCTCTACAATATATCCTAACCCAACTCTCACAATCCTCATAAAAACTCTTTAATTGCTGTCAATAACCTACCACCTATTCCATACATTTGCTACATCTGTCACACTGCTCCCCTGTCCACCCATTCATATGCTTTTTCCAAATCCATAAAGGCAACAAAAACTTCTTTACCCTTATCTAAATATACATGTAATGTTTTCTATCTATTCTTTTTAATTTTGCTCCCAGTTAGAGTTAGGTCACAAATTGATAATGGGTCAGGGAATAACAAAATATATCATCAGTTTTCATCTCCAATCTGTAGGTTAGTTGCCATACAAAGTGCCTTTTGAAAAATCTAAGCGAAACCAACACGTCAAAAACGGAGATTTCAAGATACATCAATGATGCAGACTGGCATCTTAAACAATTACTGTGTAGCTTTCTAATATTTTCTATGAAAAGACAATCAGGTGAAAAGGATAGAAAAGACAAATGGGTCTGATCAGTATCCACAAAACCTTTGCTAGAAGAAAGCAAATCATACTAGAGATACAATGCTGTGTAATTTCTATCTTTAATGTTAAACTGATGTTAGGGTTTGTGAAAAATTTAAAAAATAAAAATTAAGAGCAAAAAAATTTATGATGTACAGTACAGTGTATCAAAATGCAAAATAAACTTTTTAAATGAGGGTGTTCCTACGTGTCTATTTTATTAATAGTATATTAAAAGCCATTTATTTGTTTAAAGCAGGGTACTCCACACAGAATCAAAGTACAGTATTTGTTAATGTGCATCCACATTTTAAGACTGAATTAACCGAAAGATTTCAACGTCATAATAACTAACGCATCCTTAATATGAGTACTTTGAATCTTTTACATTTGATATTTCCTTAGTACTAGAACAATCCTATTTAATGGCTCCTTTTCTGCAAGATTTAATTGCAACACTCACCCGCTGTTGAGAATGTGGCCCACCAGCTTGAGGAGGGTGAACCTCCTGGCTTCCCTCGCCAACATAATTTTCTGCTGAGAAGCCCCCAGGAATTTCACTGCCACCAAGCCACTGATGAGAAAATTTTAAATTCTAATGTAGAATATCTAAACATTAAACCAAATATATGAAGTACAATGCAGTTTTTAAACCAGAATGAAAATATATTCAGTTAATGTTAAAATATATTTTTGAGTATCAGCCAAAACAAATACAACTTGTTAGCCCTTACGCCTTGCATTCCTGAAGGCCCTGCTAGAGCTTCTGCAACAGCATCAGCAAGGGGTTGTGCTTGCCCAGGGATAACTGATTGGTCAAATTTATTTGGTAGCATGTGACTACTATGTTCTTCGCCACCCCCAGAACCATCCATACCAGGATCACTACCCACATGACCATATTGCATTCCAGATTCATTACCCTCCGACTGATTACTGTCAATCGTTTCTACCATTTCTTCTTTAACTAACGACTCGTCCACCATAATCTGAGGAAGAAAATTTGAAAACTTAAAATATTGGTCACAGCTATCTATGGGTAATATTAAAAACCTAAACTTTCCAGGGTTTTTCAAATACACAGACCTTTACCTTTTATCAAGCGATTCAAGATATTTCTTGTGCTAAATGCACAAAAAATGAATTGCTTGATAAAAGGTTTCCCATATTTTACTTATATCCAATAGGAAGGATTCATGGAGCAGTGTAAGCTAAGACTTAGGTGCTTGGACTTGCATCCCATTGGCTGGGAGAGCCAAATGCAAACACATTCAGTATACAGCAGTGTTTTTCTTGCTCCCAAAATTCTTATTTCTCCAAATTTCACCATATAAGAATGTTGCTAATTATCTGGAATTGTTTTCAGTGAAAAGATAAAGTTTGAATGTCATTTTAAAAAGCAAATAGTTTGAAAGACCCACAGAAAGGTACATGTCATGTGAAATTCAGACACGAAATTTCCAAGAAATTTCTCGTCCTGCCCAAGTTTGCAGCCTTTGTCTTTTGCAAAAAGTACAGCAATGCCTAAGCGTACGTAATAAGGCAAATAGATTACTGGGATTTATATCAAGAAGTGTAAGCAACAGAAGTCCAGAGGTCATACTGCAGCTTTATACATCATTAGTAAGGCCTCACCTAGATTATGCAGCTCAATTCTGGTCTCCATATTACAGAATGGACATAAATTCGTTAGAAAACATTCAGCGTAGGATGACTAAATTAATACATAGCATTAGAAATCTTCCTTATGAAGAAAGATTGAAGACTCTTAAGTTACATTCACTTGTTAGACGAAGAATGAGGGGAGACCTGATCAAAGTGTATAAATGGAAGATAGGTGTTAATAAAGGGGATATTAACAAGGTCTTGAGATATCTCTCCAAGAGAGAACCCGCAGTAATGGATTTAAATTAGATAAGTTTAGATTTAGAAAGGACATAGGCAAGTATTGGTTTGGAAATAGGGTAGTTGATGAGTGGAACAGTCTACCTAGTTGGGTTATTGAGGCTAGGACTTTGGGTAGTTTCAAATTTAGGTTGGATAAGTACATGAGTGGGAGGGGTTGGATTTGAGTGGGACTTGCACATCAGAGCTTATTTCTTGGGTAGCATTGAAAATTGGGTGGGTCAAATGTTTGTTAGTGGGATGAATTGTAAAGGACCTGCCTAGTATGGGCCAACAGGCCTGCTGCAGTGTTCCTCCTTTCTTATGTTCTTATGTAAATTTATCATGCTTCCCAAGCCTCCACACAGTCTCGTACAAAGTACCATGTGCATAGTGGTTAATGAAAATATGAGTATATTACATGATTTTTTTTTTTAGTGTATAATAAAGAAAGGATGAGTAGTGTCTTTAATTGCATTTTTTTCTTGGGGAGTAAGAGAAAGCATATAGCCCCAAGGTGATAAACAATTTATATATACAGTAGGGCCCCACTTATATGGCAGGTTAGGGTCCAGGCTACCACCGTAAAGCAGAAATTGCTGAAAAGTGGAACACCCATTTTTCCACTTATAAATGCATATACTATATGCTAGATAACAGGTCTACGCTAACATATATTAAGTTGGAAATAGAGTAGGCATTAAAAAACAATAAAAAAGTAAAATACACATGTAATACGCTCATTATTTACCTTAAAATACTTGTAGTCTTAACCCTTTCAGGGTTTTTGACGTACTAGTACGGCTTACGCACCAGGGAATCGGACGTACTAGTACGGCTTACGCACCAGGGTTTTTGACGTACTAGTACGCCTAAATTCTAGCCCCCTCAAATCTAGTGAGAGAAAGCTGGTAGGCCTACATATGAAAGAATGGGTCTATGTGGTCAGTGTGCGTAGTATAAAAAAAAATCCTGCAGCAGACAGTGCGTAATGAGAAAAAAAAAAAAATTTCACCGTGTTTTTGGATTAAAACAGTGACTTTGCACTGTATTTTTGTATGGTATTTATTGTTTATTCTAGTTTTCCTGGTCTCATTTTATAGAATGGAAGACATATTACAGAAATTGAGATGCTTTTGACTGGTTTTACAATGAAAAGTACCTCGAAATTGAGCTCAAAGTAGCAGAAATGTTCGATTTTTACCAAAGTTCAAAAGTAAACAAAATCATGCTAAGCATCCAATACACGTCAACTGGTGAGTCTAATATTCTTTCACAAGTGCACTGATATTATTTATACCATTTCTACACTAATGCAGTAGTCTGCATAACAGTAAATCTTCTATTTTTTGGAAGAATAAAAACTAAAAGTGGAAAGCAAGAGAATGTAAGAGGGGTGTAGGAACGTGACTAATGAAGAGGAAATGCTATTTTAGTGCCAGGAATGTCTTTCTTGTTTATTCTGAACCCTATTTGGAAATTGGCATCTTTTGAAATTTGTGTGAAACTGGCAAAATTGCTAAATTCTGACCACTGTATTGGATAGTTGAAATCAGTAAATGGGTGGTGTCTTGTACTCATTCGATAGAAAAATTGGAGTTCTAGCAAAATAGTTATGATTTCTGTCGACTAGTACACTGGAATTGTCCGAAAACAGGGCTCAAAGCTGGCAAAATCGCCGATGCGTAAACATCGTCGAGACTGCTAACTTCGCGAGAGCATAATTCCGTAAGTTTTCCATCAAATTTCACACTTTTTTTTTTTTTTTTTTGAAATTTGGGCGACCTTGAGAACAAGTCTGGGAGAGGGCCTGGGGACCCTGAAAGGGTTAATGGAGGGTGAGATGAGCAGTATTTATTGTAAGAAATCAGGTGTGGTAGGTATGGTAGCCAGGCCAGGCCACCCCACCCTCACCTAATATACTACGACATTAAAATTTTCCCAGGGCGATAAACTGCATATACAGTTCACTTATTACTTACCTTAAAATGTTTGTAGTCTTAATGTATGGTGAGAGTTGAGTAAACAAGATCGAACCAATGAACAAACAAGAGAGGCGGAGTATGTAAACAGACTAACATCTGATTTTGGTTCAAACACGTCTGTATTATACCATAATACAAATACTTTACATTATGTACAAGTTGTCTCCAAATTGGTACAGTAGAATAAATAATGAGCAACACTCCCATTCTCACGTAACACCATTTTTATAAGAAATGACACTCCGTGAAGTCATACAAAAGGAATAATTTTATAGTTACCCCCAGTAATACTATAGTGTACACATTTTCTTTGGCGTTGAACTAGAGAAAACTTATTCTTTCTGACACTCCGACAAAACGACTAGAAAATTTTTTTTTTTTTTTATTAAACACACTGGCCGATTCCCACCAAGGCAGGGTGGCCCAAAAAAGAAAAACTTTCACCATCATTCACTCCATCACTGTCTTGCCAGAAGGGTGCTTTACACTACAGTTTTTAAACTGCAACATTAACACCTCTCCTTCAGAGTGTAGGCACTGTACTTCCCATCTCCAGAACTCAAGTCCAGCCTGCCGGTTTCCCTGAACCCCTTCATAAATGTTACTTTGCTCACACTCCAACAGCATGTCAAGTATTAAAAACCATTTATCTCCATTCACTCCTATCAAACACGCTCATGCATGCCCGCTGGAAGTCCAAGCCCCTCACACACAAAACCTCCTTTACCCCCTCCCTCCAACCTTTCCTAGGCCGACCCCTATCCCGCCTTCCTTCCACTACAGACTGATAAACTCTTGAAGTCATTCTGTTTTACTCCATTCTCAAATATCTGAATACACGTACATTCACCTCCTCCTGGGAGACAGTAATGGTGAAGCTGGAGATTTTGTCCAGGTAGTCGGGAATTATACGCAGGAAGGAATACATATAAATGACCTCATAGGGGACAGGAGCCGTAGTAGGGAAACAAGTGTAGTCAAAGATAAGATAAAACCAATATTGCAAACTAGAAATACCACAGGAAATAGCAAACAAGAGGACTCCACTAGCAATAGTGAGGATATATTACCAAAAACAACTGGTGGGAGCTCCATTGTTGGTGCTAGGGAGGATAGGAATAAGACAGGGAAACATGCACCAACAGGAATACAGTCACAGAAACCCAAGGCAAACGGAAACCAAGCCTGTGCACATACTATGCACTTGGTATCTGCAGGCATGGGAAATCTGGAAAAACAGACGGGACGTGCAACTATGACCACCCTAGAAAATGCCATGCCCATATGACAACAGGAAAATGCAAACTCCCTTCCTGTAAGCTTTTTCACCCTGAACTGTGTACCTCTTCAGTACAGGAAAGACTGCTATAACTTAAATTGCCAGGCACACCATCTAAAGGGGACAAAAAGATACAAAACATCCAGGCCATGGGAAAACCTGGGTAGCCACAGCCACTCAAGAGGGAGAGGTTTTTTAGTACCAGGAAGGAAAAAAAAACTGGCAGGAAATGGCAGAAATCGTACACCAAATCCAGTCATTCCTGGAGTGGAACCACAGTCGATGGCCTCCACTCCAAACCAACAGATACAGATACTAATGCCGGAAAAAAAATTCCCCCCCCCCAGTACCAACAATACCACCAGTCCGATGACATTCTTCTTTGCAAATATACAGGGTCTAAAGCCAGCAACAAACAACAAAATACCTTTCATCCGTGGACTGCTTCAGAGGCAAAGGCAATGTTCGCGGCTTTCACTGAGACCCACATAAAGGATCACTTGGACAACGAAATATGGATCCCAGGTTACAACCTATACAGATGTGACAGAGTGAACAGGCAAAAGGGGGGGGGGTTGGCCTGTATATTGCAGTCACTTGTTTGCACAGAACTGCTTAATGCCTCAAATGTAGTGGAAGTTTTAGCAGTAAAGGTCGAGAACCAAAACCTAGTCATTGTGGTAGTCTACAAGCCTCCGGATGCAACATCCCAGCAATTCCAGGAACAGCTGTTAAAAATTGACCACTGTCTGGAAAATCTTCCAGCTCCTGCACCCAACATCTTGCTCCTGGGGGATTTCAACTTAAGGCACCTAAAATGGAGGAATATAGCAAATAATAT